TTTCACCATTTTTGGACATTTTCCCGATTTTTTTTAGCATTTTTCCCCATTTTTCCCCTTTTATTCAACATTTTTTGCCCATTTTTTTGGGTTTTTTCCTCATTTTAGGAGCCCCACCCACACCTGAACATCCCACCGGTTGGGGACCCTCCCCAAAACTCCCCACCCCAAATTTGGGGAGTTTTCACCATTTTTGGACATTTTCCCAAATTTTTTTAGGATTTTTCCCCATTTTTTCCCTTTTTTTCCCTTTTTTTGCCCATTTTTTGGTTTTTTTCCTCATTTTAGGAGCCCCACCCACACCTGAACACCCCACCAGCTGGGGACCCTCCCCAAATCCCCCCACCCCAAATTTGGGGAGTTTTCACTATTTTTGGACATTTTCCCAAATTTTTTTAGGACTTTTCCCCATTTTTCCCCTTTTATTCGACATTTTTTACCCATTTTTGGGTTTTTTTCCCCATTTTGGGAGCCCCACCCACACCTGGACACACCTGGGGGTCCCACCCGCCCGGGGACCCCTCCCCAAATCCCCCCAACCCAAATTTGGGGAGTTTTCTCCATATTTCACCATTTTCCCCATTTTTTTTTAGGGTGATTTTGGGGTGAATTTGGGGTGAATTTTCTGGTGAATTTGGGGTGAATTTTTGGTGTATTTTGTGGTGAATTTGGGTGATTTTGGGGTGATTTTGGGGTGAATTTTTTGTGAATTTTTTGGTGATTTTGGGGTGAATTTTGGGGTGAATTTTGTGGTGATTTTGGGGTGAATTTTGGGGTGAATTTTTGGTGAATTTTGGGGTGAATTTTGGGTGAATTTTTGAGTGCATTTGGGCTGATTTTGGGGTGAATTTGGGGTGAATTTTTTGTGAATTTTTTGGTGATTTTGGGGTGAATTTTTGGGGTGAATTCTGGGTGATTTTGGGGTGAATTTTGTGGTGATTTTGGGGTGAATTTAGGGTGAATTTTGCTTGATTTTGGGGTGGATTTTGGGGTGAATTTTTGGTGAATTTTGGGGTGATTTTGGGGTGAATTCTGGGTGAATTTTTGAGTGCATTTGGGCTGATTTTGGGGTGAATTTGGGGTGAATTTTTGTTGAATTTTTGGTGAATTTTGGGGTGATTTTGGGGTGAATTATTGGTGAACTTTGGGGAGATTTTGGGGTGAATTTTGGGGTGAATTTGGGGTGAATTTTGGGATGATTTTGGGGTGAGTTTTTGCTGAATTTTGGGCTGATTTTGGTGTGAATTTGGTCTGATTTTGGGGTGAATTTTTGCTGAATTTTGGGCTGATTTTGGGCTGATTTTGGGGTGATTTTGGGGTGAATTTGGGCTTATTTTGTGGTGATTTTGGGGTGAATTTTGGGGTGAATTTTGGGGTGAATTTGGGGTGAATTTGGGCTGAATTTAGGGTGAATTTTGGGATGATTTTGGGGTGAGTTTTTGCTGAATTTTGGGCTGATTTTGGGGTTAATTTGGGCTGATTTTGGGAGATTTTGGGGTGAGTTTTTGCTGAATTTTGGGGTGATTTTGGGGTTAATTTGGGCTGATTTTGGGGTTAATTTGGGCTGATTTTGGGGTGATTTTGGGAGATTTTGGGGTGAGTTTTTGCTGAATTTTGGGGTGATTTTGGGGTTAATTTGGGCTGATTTTGGGGTGATTTTGGGGGATTTTGGGGTGAATTTGGGCTTATTTTGGGGTGATTTTAGGGTGAATTTTGGGGTGATTTTGGTGTGAATTTGGGCTTATTTTGGGGTGATTTTAGGGTGAATTTTAGGGTGAATTTTGGGCTGATTTTGGGCTGATTTTGGGCTGATTTTGGGCTGATTTTGGGGTGATTTTGGGGGATTTTGGTACCTGCTCGCTGGCTCGGTGGTAGTAGGTCAGGTGCGCCCCGGCCTGGCCCAGCGTCACCGTCCCGATCCACGCCGGCGCTGC